AGCAGTTTATATAATAGAAGGATAACATATGCATAAGAATTTGTAAACTCGCCTGATACCATCGATACTGGGCGTTATAATTGAGATTGAACCCTTCAGAGCAATTAAAAATAATCAATTGAGTCTAGAAAAAAATCAATGAGAAAAGTGGGAGAAACTAAGGCCAAAGTTAGTAGACCACCGAAAGCGGAATCATCAAATGAAGAAGGGACTGAAATCTCAAATTCAAAATTGTTTCGGCCAAACGTGAGTGGTGAGAAAGAAGAGGAAGAATAACAGATGCATGATCTACTTGAAAATGGTGATTTAATCGTATACTTATCCATTACATTTGTCAAAAAATCCTCGCTGCGACTTTTTTGTCGAACATTCGGTAAAGTATCTGCTACGAAACATAGATCCCCATTGCGGAAGCGCTCGGGCACTTGTTGATTCCTTCCTTCCAGAGAGACGGGGCTGGGACGTAGAGAATACTTTCAGCGGCTCTTTGATAGCGCCTTTCCTGTCGCATTGCCAATAATTTTGAACGATTATGCCAGCATAAAATGGGGACTTTTGCAATGAGGAGAGTAGGGAGACCAGCACTGTGTAGACCTAACCTCTGTTGTTGATCGAGCATTAAGCTGGTTCAATCGAGATGATGCGCGGTGTCCAGTTCAATATCATCCTATATGTTCGGGTGTACCTTTAAAGCAGGATCTTACGCGGTGGGTTGGAGCTGCAATGGATTTTACAACAAGTTTATTATAGCCAGACACTCGGTCCCACCCAGCGTACAGAATTCCATATGATAGAAACGCACTGCAACAGGGTGGACATTCGAACACGCACGCAGAGACTCACTAATTGTAGTAGGCGTGTCTACCTTTGCAAAACCTCTTTTTCGAACGCACGACAGAAATTTTCTAGTGTGACGGCTGCAAATGGGTGAACGTGTGCCCCGGCCCAGGCGCGAGGGCTGACCCAAGGCGAGGGGAAACGCTCTCCTGAGTCCAAGTCAGCGGAGCGCCCGCTGTTGAGCCCGCCATCACCTGCTACCCGCCTCGTGATTGATGTACATTTATTGTGTCTGTAGATGTTCCATTGCACATAGCGATTTTTTTAACTGTGCCTTCAGAGTATTCCAGTATCAAGAGGAGCGGTCTGGTCAGTTAGTGTTTGTTATGTTGTATTTCTTATATTTGAAGTATTGTAATATTTGATGTTTTTTGTAGGTCTGAAGAAGCTGTTATTACAGCGAAAGCTAACCAATAAATCTTATATTAGAAGAGTCCTCATCAAGAGATTTCAAAAAGAAGATATACACTTATGAGGCTCAGGGATAGCTCAATAATATCTTGTTACACTTACGGTTAGTGTTAGATGTTGCTGCAATTATTAAACCATCTTTTGGGAATCATAGGTGCGAACGCTATTAGACTTCCCCAAACAAGCGAATATACCACAAACCGGGATGTGCTGGATCTTCTCAATAAAGGTCAGGTGCCTTTGTGGAACCTTGACATTTGAAGAGCTATCGTTACGAGTCTCGTTTGCGGGACTGTCAGTATCTGAGTTGTCTTCTTCTTCTTCATTCTGAAACAGTAGACTTCCATAATTTGGAGATCCTCTTTTGTACTATGATTTCCGAAGCGTTTGCTTTCGAAAAATTCATAAGTGTCGAGCGTCGTTTTACGCTTCATTCCACGAGGAAAAATGAGCCTTTCTATGACGAGTATTCGATCTAATTTCACTTGCAGCCAACTATATCTGATTGATAACGCTTACAATTAGCGCAGCAAATGAAGCAACGGTTGCCAGTGTCTGACGTATGGTATGGTAGCATTCCGTATCGTGGGCCATGCTGGTGTTATTTGTATTTAAATTCCTACAGTTCACTTGCGTGTTCGTAGGAAACCTCAGTATCACAATGACTTAATATTTCAAATTCCGCTACACATTCAGCTCGCCGTGGTTGGATGGAAACCTCGAGTATCACAATGACCTTCGCGCTGATTAAATGCTTTCACAATGACGATAAAATTTTATTAATAGTATAACAATAGAGGCAGGGATAGCCGAGTGGTTAAGAGGTTAGACTCATGTCTGCACCTCTGAAAAACCGCGAGTTCGATCCCTGCCGAGGCTCTAAACCATGCCTTGCAAAAATTGCAAAAATGGTTCTAGTACCAGCGTCAGGCCCAGGTTGACAGGCCGGCTGATGAAGACCCCCGTCACAACAAATATGTCTAAAGTCGAAAAAGGAATCAGTGATAAAGCTAGGACGTCACCCGGAAGTGGCGCGCAGAACCCCCGCCCGAGTTCTGTGGTCAGTATGCGAGGGACTATAAGAACGTCCGGACCTTGGCGAGCTGCGCGGAGAGCCTAAACGCTGGGGAGAAGAAAGAAGTGATGCATAACTGCATCGCCCCCACGCTCTCGAGGGAATTGAAGCTGGCGCGCTGAGTGACTCGGTGATCACTGTGAAAGGCCAGTCGTCTAAAATGGCGAATTAAGTAGCTGATTCAATATAAGTTTAATTTAACTTTCAGAAAGAGAAGGAGAAAACAAATATGGCATGTGATCTACCTTAGACGGAACTTCTTTAGGTACAATCCACGTAATTGGACGCAATCCAGCGTGTGTGAACATCATCAGGGATAACAAGAACACAAGATATCTGAAGCGCTTAAGTTGTCCACAAGTACGGAAAGACTTAGAATGAGGTGCAACCTTAGCTCACAAACTCATTCAAGTACTCACGTTAGCACGAAAACAACCGGCACTATTAGCTGAAGAAGAAGCGCGACTTTGGGTTTTAAGTTTAATATAGACCGCTCTGTGAGAAATAATGCCATGATAGAAAATGAACCAATGAGACCGCCCTCACCAGTGGCCTCCGACGACCAAGCAGCTATCGCTAACCCTGAAGGTTGCAATATAAAAACTGTTAAAGTTTGTGGGCACTGAATGGAAAAAGTAATCAAAACTCCGTGATTTGGTTGGATTGAGATTGGATTCAAAGTAGGATGGGTGCTGAATGGTGTTTTAGTGGCAAAAAAAAAACAGAGAAGTCGCTTGAAAACACTCGAAATGGAGGTGGGAATGGGATGTTCGCCCGTTGATTTTCTGCTATAGACGAGCCAGCCACCCAAGAAAAGAAGACCTTTGTAGTGTTACTCCCGAAAATCCAACAAATATGCTTTGTTTGATAACGCCTCACACCGGAAAAGTAAAAGATATGGAGGCATGAAGGGAAATGTTCACAAAATGAATAGCGATTGATGCTTCTAATAGCAATACACAGAAGAGAGGAGCGCTTCTGCGTTACGGTTACTGAATTTTGAGCCTGGCTGCCGCTTTCAACCAGCTCACGTCCGCCCGCAAAACCGCCCACAACTCCTCTTTGCCAGCGCTGGCCCACTTCTGGCACGCCTGGTCACTTTTTTTTTTTTTTCAAATTTTTTGTCTGGCTTCCAACTACAGGACCTACACGTGATAGTGTGTTCTACTGCAGCTCAGCAGTATAAGGATTGATAACGAAAGCGCTGAAAAACGCGGTGTCCATCAGGCTATAGGAATTTTCGAGTGACAAATTAATCTCTAGTAAATGTTCTTCGGTGTAAATATACGAAAAAGAAAATGGAAAAAATTCGTACGGAACATCTGCGCCAAACCTTTGTACCAACCAGGAGGGCCAGTATTCTCCAAAACCTTCTTTTGCCAAAATTTTGAACGATATAGAGTGACAAGCGGAAGCCACGGAAGTACGGCTCTTTTCCTAGACGGCTTCTTTCCAGAAATACCAAAAAAAGTGGAGAAAGGGGAAATACCTCGGAAGCTCTTCAGACTGCCTCATTGTGGCATAGATCATGAGTGCCGATTCACGATACAGAGACAGACTGAGACAACTTCGGACCAGGGGTCAACCGTTACGTTGGACCGATATTGGAGCGACGTTGGACCGATGTTCACCGCTCTCCGCGCCGGCATTCACTCTCGCCACCCGCGAGCCGTCTGTGTCTCCGTGCGTACGTTCACTCTCGGCATTACTCTCGTCGTCGCGTTGGACTTTGTCCAACGGACGGTTGACCCTGCCTTGGGCTAGCAAGTTGTATGCAGGAGTACGGAAAATTGAAATTTTTCAAAACTCATTGTCTCATGGAGACAGCTTGACGTGGCTTCCAGAATGCATGATGATTCATGTGTAAAAAAAATGAGTAAGGCACTTCTCGTGAACAAACCATAGCGAAAAACGAGCCAATTTGCTCAGAAAGTGTTGCCACGTCGAGTAAATTGAGAACACTCTTTCATCTGTTTCTTTCTGATTTGATTCCTTCTCTTCATGTCTCAACATTCTCAGAGCACTGGTTCGTTTTTTCCACACACTATGAAGAAGAAAAGGTCAGGAGTATAGCTAGAAACTTCAAAATGTCACAAATGAAAAAAGCTCTCACTTCACTCGACTTGGCAATTCTCGGAACGTGATGAGTTGAAATTAATCGTTTTCCTGGAAATTCCTATTCAAAAAACTCTATGTCCCTAGCCCACCGCAGCAGAAGCTGAGCTTTTCTAAAGCACCTTTTGCGCCCAGATTTTTAGAAATATTTTTCCTTCACTTTCCGCCGAGGCGGCTTGTCACCTTATTTTACCTATGCCTGGAATCGTACAAGGACATCTGCAAAAAACAAGGTTGGTCCATAAGTCTTGCAACAAATTACATTTAATGCTAGAAAATTTTTGTGAGAACTCCGAAAATTCCGCAACATGTTTGTTGACGTAGCATCCACCTTTGCAATTTCAGCCAACCGTCCAGCTCGTTGTCTCGCTACTTGTTATGGATATTACACCGATTTCGCGAAAAGCTCTTCGTGCCCTAATTTTTACGAGTACTGCTTGGAATGTTCCGCAAGTCATGCTACACCAAGGATTAGCCAGAAGATGGGCGAGGGCTCTCTCAATTCACGGTGCACCGGCGCTCCACTCTGCACACTCCAACCACCCTGTGACTGGCAATCACGATGCTCTATGACGCTGTTGAAAAGGGATCTGGATAGAGTATCGATCATTTGCTAGAGCGATTCCGATGCGACAAGGAGACAGCACTGTGGCATCTCCAAAGACTTGTGAAGATCGAAAATATAGAGTTTGGATCCCACATGCCTTGAGCCAGCTCCAAACACAATCTGACATCGTCACCTTTCAAGTCGACTTACTATGGATTCTTCGATTGACCATCATCACATTTGCCGAAGATGAGGAGTGGGTACAGTTGCTAACAAATGAACAAGCGGCGGTAGTCCAGCTCAAACGCTTCGGGAGTTCTTACTGCTTAAGTTCAACCTCGTCCAAGTAGGGCCTTCTCGGATTTTTGGTGGAACACGAGAGGAGTTGAGCTCTGGAAACCCCTACGTGTAGATGTCGCAGTCAACGCGAAGTCAACTATCCACAGCTCGAATGCAACGCTTTCAATACGAAAGAAAAACAAGGCAAAGTTTGCTTTTTTATGACACCGTTGAACCACCTCTTGCTAAGAAAATCCAGGAAAATTTTGGACTCTCGGACGGAGAGTTCTTCCGTATCCACCTTATAGCCCTGACCTCGTGCCAAAATGCCCACCTGCTCCCCTCTCCACCTCCTAGAGAAGAAAGCTCATCCTAACCATGATGATGTCAAAATCGACATCTGATCTTTCTTCGATCAGAATTCAGTAGAGTCCTACAAGAGAGGCATCGAACAGCTACTAGTGCGTTGGCAATAGGTTGTAGATATTGATGGTGGTAGCATGCTGGATGAATGGAACAAAAAGATAATAAAAATATTAAAATTCAAAATTCAGCCAGTTTGTTGCAAGACTTATGGACCAACCTAATAGAATAGAGACATCGTAGGTGTTATAAGGAAAAAATTAGTGGCTAACTCATTTACGCTGGGTAACGTGAAGCAAGTGCGAGATAGGTGATCTCTCCTATCCCGCTTCCGAGACTGCCGATGCAGACGCCGGCTAGTGACTCAGTGACACTTTCTGAGAAGGCTACGACAACGTAGCTCGCCGCTTGTAGAAGGCACACAAGCACATGACGAAATCTGAAACCGATGATTACTGCCCCTGAAATGCATTACCAGGTTTAAATAAAAGAATCAATGAAAACATCGCAATTACTAGACGTAAGCTTGTCCAGCGCCTAAATGCGAGGCCCAGGCA